CGCCGCTGCCGCAGCCACCCAGCCCTGTGCAGAGCCCCCCCCAGCAGCCCCCGGCCAGGGAGGAAGATGAGGAGGAGGAGGAGCCAACAGAGACAGAGACCTCCGGGGAGAGGCTGGGAGTCAGCGACAATGGAGGTGAGGGGCTGGCTAGGGCCTGGCGTGGCTCCCAGGTGGGCAAGTTCTCCTCACCCCCAGTAGCTTCTCCTGGAGGGGGTCTTGTTTTCTCTCAGCCCTGCAATTGAGGGAGGCTGCCCCTGGCTCACTGGGGGGCCTTGGGCAAGTCACTCTCCTACCTGAGCCTTGGTTTCCTTCCTCTGGGGTCCTGGGGCCAGCTTGGTACTACAAGGGGCTAAGCTCAGAGACACCAAGCCCCTCAGCCCTTTTCTGGAGGGGCTCTCAGTTCAACTGAGGAGTTGCAGCCCCAGCATAAGGCAATGGCCTTTGGAGGCCCAGAGGACTGGCGGGGGCTTGCCTCTTGAACTGGAAACGTGAGCAGATCAGGAGCTGTTTCCATATCGGGGACCCCAAATGCCTAGGAACCCAAAGAGGAGGAAGGGTAATGACTAGCAGCTGAGGAAGCCAGGGGCAGCCAGCTGTCTTGGTGGGAATTTGGAGGTGGGAGGCTTCTCAGAAACAGGGCTAGAAGAGTAGGGCCCTGAAGGGTACGCAGGAGTTTACAGGTGGCTCAGTAAATAAAAAGTTGCCATCGGGTCAATTCCGACTCACAGTGCCCCTGGAGGACAGAGTGGAACTGCTGGATAGGGTTTCCAAGGCTGTCCATCTTTCTGAAAGCAAAGCCCAAACCACACCCACTGCCATGGAGTCGATTCTGACCCACAGCGCCCCTAGAGGACAGAGTGGACCTGCCCCACTGGGTTTCCGAGACTGTCATCTTTATGGGACCGGGTCACCAGGTCTTTTCTCCCACAGAATGGCTGGTGGGTTCACATCACCAACCTTTCAGTTAGTAGCCACGTGTATAACCAGTGCACCACCAGGGCTCCTTCCTGCAACAAACAGGAGTTACTACCGTGTTGCCATCATTACCAATGGCTAGCCTTCTCACGTTAGGGGAGAAAACCCTTGTAGGGTTAAAGGCACAGACTCTGGAGCCAGACGGCCTGGGTGCTGCTACTTTTTAGCTGTGAGACCTCAGGCAAGTGACTTAACATCTCTGTCTCTCCAAGTCACCATTTGTACAGCAGAGATCAGAGTTGCCCTTGTTTTCAGTCTAGAGTGTAGCTTATAGACACTGGGTTTATTTCTGCTGATGACCCGGCTGACGGCCAAGGGAAGGGTGTTCTCAGCAGAGGGAAGAAGAATCGCTGAAGCCCTGAGGCTTGAAAGGGCCTGGCCAACATAGGCAACAGGGAGGCTGTGACAGCGGCTAGGGTTGGAACTATGTGGGTGCAGCAGGGACCCAGCTGGCCCGGGCCTCTCGTGCCATCTGCAGGGCTCTTCGTGATGGACGAGGACGCCACCCTCCAGGACCTGCCCCCCTTCTGCGAGTCGGACCCCGAGAGCACCGATGGTGAGTGTCCCAGGCTGGCTCCCGCCCCAAAGGGCTGGGACAAGGGCAGGGACAGAGCCTGAGGCCCACCCTCTCTTGCAGACGGCAGCCTAAGCGAGGAGACCCCCGCCGGCCCCCCGACCTACTCAGTGCCCCCAGCCTCGGCCCTGCCCACGCAGCAGTACGCCAAGTCCCTGCCCGTGTCCGTGCCCATCTGGGCCTTCAAGGAGAAGAGGACAGAGGCGCGGTCGTCGGACGAGGAGAACGGGCCGGTGAGGGGCACACGGGGAAGTGGGGGGGCGAAGCAGGGAAGCAGAGAGCTGGAAAGGCTCAGAGCCAACTCCTCCACGAAGCCCCTCGGGCACTGAATTATTCAACAAACACTCTGGTCACGGTTTGTAACCACTGTGGCTTGCTAAGGTGTCCCCATGCCTCGTAGAGAAGGCCTCCTCCCGTCTCCAAGAACGGCCCCATTTACAGAGCACCTGCTCCAGGCAGCACACCAGCCACACAGCATCCAGCCCTCTCCTCCAGGTGGGGAATCAGGCTTGCAGGGGTCCAGTCACCCCCACCCCTCATATTCCTCATCCCTCCCAGGATTTTCCCCACCCCCTTATCCTCTTTGACTGCTGACCAGAAGGCTGAGGGTTCAAACCCACCAGCCACTCCTCAGAAGGAAGGTTGGGCAATCTACGTCTGCAGTGATACACCTCGGAAACCTAAGGAGGGGTCGCTATGAGTCGGATCCGACTCAAGGGCAGTGAGTGAGTTGAGTGAGTTATCCTCTTTCTAAAGATGGGGCATTCTGCTTCCGTAGAGATTTGCAGCCTTGGAAACCCAACGAGGTTGCTATGAGTCAGAACCGACTCGATGGCAGTGAGTTTGGCTTTTGGTTTTGTCCTCTTCCTGGGCGGGCCTGGCCTGGGTGGGTCTTTGTTGCCCATCCCTAAAGCTGCCTGAAGCAGAGGGGACACTGAGGCACTGAGAGGACGAGGTCTTCAGCCGTCAGGGGCAGACCTGGGATTAGAGCCCAGCCTCCTTTAGGGAGGAGCTGTGAGCTTTGAGGGAGGGGGCTGGATCCTCCTGGTTCTTCTTGGTGACATCCTTGTCTGCAAGCTCACGGGCTGTCCCGAGGGCCCAGCGAACCGGTGATGCTGGAGACCAAGAACACTGCCTGGTACAGCCACTGCTATGCACACGGCTTGTGGTGTGTAGAAATGCAGATGACTGTGTGTGTGAGGCTCGGGAGTGCCGGGCACCTGGGCTGGTCTCTGGAAGGGCTCAGATCCCCTCTACTGGTGGCCACTCCCATTGTGCTGGGAGCATGGCCACGTCCCGGCTCAGTGACAGAGGCTGTAAGGGAGAGAAAACTAAAACGAGGCGCTGGGGCGGTGGCCAGGCAGAACGGCAGGACAGGCACAGCTGTGGAGGGGCAGGGAGAGGGCGGTCCCTTACAGCGCCGGGGCACTGTGACATGATAGTTCACCTTTCCAGCTGCAGTCGCTGTGCTGTCGGTCCTGTTTCAGCCCTCACAGGGCCCCTAAGTTACCCTGTCCCCCCACTTTTCAGAAGGGCGGACTGACGCACAGGGCAGTGGCACCTCTTGTTCAGTGTGGCAGCACTGGTTGGAGGCGCCTGGTTGATCCCACACCCAGAGGCTTAGAGATGAGACTATCTGGCTGCACTCAGCCCCAGTGGTCAGCAAGCAGAGGGCACGTCCATGTGATGGACGTGCACGAGAAGGGGCTCCCACAGCTGAGGCTGCCGGAAGCACCAGGCTAAGAAGGGGAGGAGGAGAACGGCAGGAGGGCTTCTTGGAGGAGGTGGTGTATGAGTCTCCCTGGGTGCCGTGGGCGGTTTGAGTTCGACTGCTAAGCTCAAGTAGCTACTTTAGCCATTTCCTGGGTGTCAACCTGCACAAAGGAAGAAAGGCCTGGTAAAAATTATAGCCAAGAAAAAACTGGAGCTGGGTTCTACTCTGTAACATGACCCCATGGTGGGGTCACCATGACTGGGAACGGACTCAAGGGCAACAGGTTTGGTTTTGGTTTGGTGTCTGAATTGTGTAGAAGAGTGAAGGGCCTTCCTGGAGGTGGGCATCTCCGGGACACAACGCGGGGGCGAGGGGGGAAGGACTGCAGGAAAGGGGAGAGCGAGGAAGGGCCCGCTACTGCGCTGACCCCGCGCGTGACCGTCTCCGCAGCCCTCCTCGCCGGACCTGGACCGCATCGCGGCGAGCATGCGCGCGCTGGTGCTGCGGGAGGCCGAGGACACCCAGGTGTTCGGGGACCTGCCGCGACCGCGGCTTAACACCAGCGACTTCCAGAAGCTGAAGCGGAAATACTGAGGCTGGCGGAGGCGCGGCACTGGCCGCGGCCGCCCCGCTCCACACTACACCCCTGCCCCGCCCCCGGGGCCAGCCAATCCGAGGCATGTCCGGGACCGGCCTCCCCACGCTTCTCGACTGACCGTCCGTGCCATCCCCACCTACTGACGGACGCCTTCCGAGCGCTCGGCTCCCTCCCGCGCCAAGGTGCGGGGAGCCGGTCCAATCTCTTGATTGGGTCTCTCCCCTTTCTCTGCCCAGCGACAGGTCCTTTCCATTAAGGGATTGGCTTGCTCCGGGTCAGGGGCGTGGTTAGTTGTAAACACTCGAACACACTTGCCATTTTCAACCTAGCGATAGGCCTTTGCTCGCTTGACATTGGCTCCTTCCCCTAAAGAGCACAGCAAAGCCCCAGGATTGGGCAGTGGTAATCCACTCCTGCCTAGTGACTGGTCCGCTCCTTAACATTTGATTGGCTCGAGCCCAGTGAAGGGCTTGGCCAGTTTCCCAAGAGTTAACCGGCCCCCTTCTCGAATTTTCCCAGTTGATTGGCTCCTGCCACTTGAGGGCGTGGCCACGCCTTCCTCCAGTGCCCTGGATTGGCCTGCGGCCTTCAATTTACGTTTTTCACACTACTGGGGTTGGGCTCGCCTTTGCCCAAATCCTGACAATTTGTCTCTCGGGCCCCCTCCTTAGGGATGGTCCGATCTTGTGTTTGTGTTCTGACGCCTCTTTTTATCGGTTCCATCCCACAATAGCCTGCCAGTCGAAGCCCGTCCTTTCATTCCGGACGGTACCAGCTCTCGCCCCTTTTCCCCCACCTCCACAGGTGCCTTTAAGGGCCCTCGTCCACCCAAGGTGGGGGGCAGAGGGCCTCACTCTCCGGCCCTGGTTTGGGGGGGGAGAGTGGGGGTAGGGATCGGGAGTTGGGAGGGGTCCTCTGAGATTAAAGAGTTTTACCTCTAATGAGTGTGAGGTGTTCATTCAAGAGGCACCTTCACGTTGATTCCCAACGCTGGAAGATGAGGTGGTTCCCACTGTACATTTGGATGTAAGGAAATGCATTTAGATAAGGAAATGCAGATTCACAGGCTTGGAGGGAGGAGGATTCCGGGTCTCTGACCGTGGAGCCACAAGCTCTAGGGGGTGAGTGTTGGGACCAGAGTAGTTTTAAGGAGTCAGTCTCCTTAGTGTGCCCACATGTTCTCCAGGAGAGGCCAGAACTTCCAGCTGCAGCGGCAGTCACCTGGCACAGGAGGCGGGCTGGGGGTTACACGGCAGGTGTGACTGCCTCATCTTTCTGCTGCAGAGCAGGTGCTGGATTCACACAGCTGACCCTTTGATTATCGGCCGACTGCGCCATCACGGCACCTTCCATCTGAAGTTAGCACTCGATAGATAATTACAGGACCCCCATCTGCCAACGGGCATCACCAGAGACGTGCTATTAGACTCTTAAATATGGCTTACTATGACCCTCATGGTATCTGCATGTATTAACTTTTACCCCCATGAAGTGGAGGTGGTTATCCCCACTTTATAGATGACAGAATTGCAGCATCAAGGTTAAGGCAAGGAACAGTCTAAGACTAGGGGTGCTGTCGGGTAGGGGTAAACGGAACTTCAAATGGGAACGAGAACTGCATCCTACCTCATCTATCTCCAGCAAAAGGAATGTAAGAGAGTTCAAGATGTTACTGGTGGGTGCTGTCAAGTCAGCTCCGACTCATAGCGACCCTGTGTACAACAGAACGAAACCCTGCGGGGTCCGCCACCAGCCTCAGGATCTTGCTATGCCTGAGCTCATTGCTGCAGCCACCGTGTCAATCCATGTGGTTAAGGGCCTTCCCTTTTTTCCTTGACCCTCCACGTTACCAAGCATGATATCTTTCTCCAGGGAATGGTTCCTTCTGACAACATGACCAAAGTAGGTGAGACAAAGTCTGGCCATTCTCGCTTCCAAGGAGCATTCCAGCTGCGCTTCTTTCAAGATAGATTTGTTCATTCTTCTAGAAGTCCTGGGTACTTTCAGTATTCTTCACCAGCACCACAATTCAAAAGCATCAACTCTTCTTTGGTCTTCCTTATTCATTGTCCAGCTCTCACATGCATATGAGGTGATTATAAACACCATGGCTTGGGTTAGGTACATCTTGGTCTTCAAAGAGACATCTTTGCTCTTCAGCACTTGAAAGAGGTCTTTTGCAGCAGATTTGCCCAGTGCAATACGTTGTCCGGTGTCTTGACTGCTGCTTTAATTGGTGTTGATTGTGGAACCAACTAATAGGAAATCTTTGACTACTTCATCTTTTCTCTATTTATCGTGATGCTGCTTATTGGTGCAGTTTTAAGGATTTTAGTTTTATGTTGAGATGTAATTCATGCTGCAGGCTGTAGTCTTTAATCTTCATCAGTAAGTGTTTCAACTCATCCTCACTTTCAGCAAGCAAAGTTGTGTCATCTGCATACCACAGGTTGCTAATGATTCTTCCTCCAATCTTGATGCCACGCTCTTCTTCATATAGCCCAACTTCTTGGATTATTTGCTCAGCATACGGATTGAATTGTTGTTGTTGTAGTTATGTGCCACCGAGTCACCTCCGACATATACCGACCCGATGTGCAACAGAACAAAACACTGCCCAGTCCTGTGCCAGCCCCACAATCCCTCCTATACTTGAGTCCATTGCTGCAGCCACTGTGTCAGTCCATCTTGTTGAGGGCCTTCCCCTCTTTTGTTGACTCCACTTTACCAAGCATGACATCCTTCTCCAGAGAATAGGCCCTACTGACAACATGACCAAAGTAGGTGAGACAAAGTCTGGCCATTCTCGCTTCCAAAGAGCGTTCCAGATTGGATAAGTATGGTGAAAAGATACAACCCTGATGCATTCTCTGATTTTAAACCATGGAAGAGATCCATATTTGTACCCATTTCAAAGAAAGGTGATCCCATGGAATGGAAATTATGAAACAGTATTATTAACATCACAAGTAAAACCTCGCTAAAGATAATTCAAAAACAATTGCCGCAGTATATTGGTAGAGAACTTCCAGAAATGCAAGCTGGATTCAGAAGAGGATGTTGTTGTTGTAGTTGTTGTTTGCCGTCGAGTCAGCCCCGACTCATAGCGACCCCTCCTTGGGTTTCCGAGGCAGTATCACTACAGAAGTAGGATTGCCCAACCTTCCTTCCGAGGAGTGGCTGGTGGGTTTGAACCGCCAGCCTTCTGGTGAGCAGTCAAGTGCCTTAGGCACTATGCTACCAGAGCTCCCACTGCTGATGCCAGATGGGTCTTGGCTGGAAGCAAAGAATGCCAGATGTTTACTTGTGTTTTCTTGACTATGCAAAAGCATTCGATTGTGTGGATCATAACAAATAATGGATAACATTGAGAAGAATGAGAATTCCAGAACACTTAATTGTGCTCATGAGGAACCTGTACATAGACCAGGAGGCTGTTTTTGAACAAAACAAGGCCATACGGCATGGTTTAAAATCAGGAAGGGAGTTCAAGATGGTAAGACAAAAATCTGTGAACAGAGGACACACTCGCCCCTACGGTGCCTCCCATTGTAGAAGAGGAAAGAAAGGCAGAGCTAAGTCGGGTCCGATCGGAGAGCACGAAACAAGAAGTATGGACCCATCCTAAGTCTGAAATGGGGCGGAGCTGCGGTGGTGGGAGGAGTCAAGGTCCAGCCCCTCTTGGTGGAGCGAGTCATTTCCGTCCGCCGCGGAACTGAGAAATCAGTGGTCGAGTTGTGAGGGGGAGCGCTTCGGAAAGGAATCCTTTGATCGGAAGTGGCGCGGGAGCTCGATTGGCGTGCACAGGTGAGAGCTGGGGCGGGGCGGGTTGCTCGCAGTGCTCTGGTCCGGGGAGTTTTGGATCCCGGCTCCCGGAGGGATGGAGCTAGGTGTCGTCGCCTGGGAAACAGCGCGAGCCGTTCTCCCGCGAAGGGGTGGGATTTCCCAAACAGAGGGTATTCCTGGAGGAGGGTGGGACTTCCTGAAGCAACTGGGATCTAGGACGTGTCTGGCAGGAGGCGGGACTTCCTGTATCATGAGCGGTCTTTCAGAATGAGTCCAAGCAGGCGGGGCTTAACCTTGGGCCAGGTAGGAGGATAGGCGGGACTCAGACTCACCTTTCAAACTCGTTTACCTACTTTTCCCTAGGCCTGGGCTCAGGATGGCAGAGTTGGAGGCCCAGGGCCGCTTGTGGCTCGAGAGCCCCCCTGGGGGACCGCCCCCCATCTTTTTGCCCTCGGATGGGCAAGCCCTCATCCTGGGTCGGGGACCCTTGACCCGTGTCACCGACCGGAAGTGCTCCCGAAATCAAGGTGGGCGGGGCCTGAGCGTGGAGGGGTGTGGCTGCGTCTGAGGGTGGGAACAGGCAATGGGAAAGCAAGATACTGACGAGATGTTTTGACTATTAAAGTGAATTGCGTGGTGCACCCAGTCCTGAAATTGGTGGTTCCCTCGGGGTATCACAGGAAAAGCAAGGTTGTGCCCGACTGGACTTGACCATACCCTCTTTGGGGGGAGGGGATGGAGCCAACCCCAGGAAACTTGTCAGTGGGCAGAGAAGGATGCTCAAAGGGCACTGTGAAGGCCCGTACCAAAAAGAGCCGATCTTATGGAGAACAGTACCTGTGCGGTCTCTAGACACGGGTTGGAGGTTGCAGGCCATCCTAGGTTCTCAATCTGTCAAGGAGTGAGCCAGTCCCATTTAGAAATAAACTATGTTTCCTACACAGCCAATGATGCTGGTAGCCCAATCCTGTGGCCTCAGGCTGGTCACGCCCCCCGGTCATTAGGGAATCAGTCACACAAGGATGTAAATTCTGACTCGGTTTCCTCACTCTCAGTGGAGCTGGTCGCAGACATTGGGACCCGGACAGTAGCGGTAAAACAGGTATCAGGATACCAGCAAGGGGCGGCAAGACCCGGTATAGGAGTGGAAGGGGAAAAGGCCCGTTGATTGGCTGAGAGGGAGGAGGTGTGGCAAATAAGGCTCGACTCACGTATCACAACCCTGGTGGGTTGGACACAGTGAAGAGGTGGTGCTTCAGGGTCTGATTGGCGGTTGGGGAAAAGCAAGTACTTCCCTCAGGGTATCTGATTGGAGGAGTTTCCTGGTTGGGGCGGGCCCAGTTCCAGCTTCTCCTTTTTCCTCCGCAGCTGGGAGTTAACCCTTCAACTGCGGGGACCCAGGAGCTGAACCGTGGGTTGGAGGGCTCTCTGGGGGTGGGGGACACGCTGTATTTGGTCAACGGCCTCCACCCCCTGACCCTGCGCTGGGAAGAGGCCCGCGCACCGGGATCCCAGCCAGGCACTCCACCCGGCACCCCTCTGGCGGCCACAGACATCGAGGAGGATGCCAAGCTCCCGAAAAAGCGGATGCGAAAGTCATCTCCAGGCTGGGAGGACTTTGAGAAGCTGCTGGTGTTCACAGCACCTGGGGTGAAGTCCCGGGGCAAGGTGAGGACCAAGATGAGGGGTCCACCTAGGTTTGCTGGGTGCCCCGGGGAAGTCATTGGACCTCTCCCAGCCTCCACTTCCTCTCTCCTGCAAAATTGGCCTGGTGACAAATTCAGAGGTAGTTGTCAGCCCTGGAGGAAATGGTGTACCTCAGCTCCTTCGTGACCTAGTAACCACCTGGTGATCATGGTCACTTTCCCAGGAGGTTTTCTGCGGTGTGGAGTTTAGGACCAGGGAGATTCTCTTTCAAAAGCTGTTCCTCCCACGGTCCAGCAGTGGGCGGTGCTCTGCTTCTCAGGGCCCCACCACCCTCCTCTTTCGAAGGCTGAATCCGGAAAAAGCACGTGGTAGCAGTTAGCACCCAAATAAAACTCAGCTCTTGTCTTTATTTTCATAGTGATTAACCCTCTGAGGTGGAGGAGGATTGGGGAGGGAGTGGGAGAAATTTTAACCCCATTTCCAAGACGGAAGACTGAGGGGCAGAAGAGGGATGAAAGCCAATAGAGTTCCCATCTCAGGCTCCCAGCTCTCTGACTTGATTTTTCCACCTGTAAAATGGGCGTGGTAGTGCCTCCCTCGCAGGGCCGCCGCCGCCGTGAGTCAGACCGTGAGTGAAGAGGGTGAGTGGTGACTGACAGACCGCCCTTCCTCTTTCTCCTGGTGCCAGGTGGCAGGCTTTGATCTGGATGGGACCCTCATCACCACTCGCTCTGGGAAGGTCTTCCCCACCGGCCCCAGCGACTGGAAGTAAGAAGAGGGGCGGGGGGGAGGGAAGGAGGCCTGAGTCAACCTCCCGCCACCAGGTCACCCTTGTCACTTCCCCGCCTGCCCTAGGATCTTGTACCCAGAGATTCCACGGAAGCTCCGTGAGCTGGAAGCCGAGGGCTACAAGGTGTGTGTGTGTGTGTGTGTGTGTGTGTGTGTGTGTGCGCGCGATGCAGCGGCCAGGCCTCCGGTGAGGAGGGGACCTGAGAACAAAGGCACTGGGTGACACTCGTCTGCTCCGCAGCTGGTGATCTTTACCAACCAGATGGGCATCGGACGCGGGAAGCTGCCAGTGGAGGAGTTCAAGGCCAAGGTGGAAGCCGTGGTGGAGAAGCTGGGGGTCCCTTTCCAGGTACGGCTGGGAGGGAGGCTCGGGGGTCTGTGGGGGCTCAGAAACCTAGGCAGAGGGATGGACATCCGAGAGAGAGGGACCGAGACCCTGAGATGGGGGTGAGCGGGGTGAAGGCCCCGACTGGGTTACACGGGCAGAAACCCTTCTCAAGCTGCAAATTCTGGGCACCAGCTGCTACCCGGGCTTGGTGAGGGTTGGGAGCGCATCCGTGGGTCCCGCGCACTCTCAAAGGATGCTGGGGGCTTGAGGAGGAGCCAAGGATGGAGTCTGAGTCCCCTGCCACCGGTAGGTTTTGGTGGCCACGCATGCCGGCCTGAATCGGAAGCCAGTGACCGGCATGTGGGAGCATCTTCAGGAGCAGGTGAACTGCTGCGTCTCTGCCCCACCTCCAGGCTGCTGTCTTTGTCCTTGTCCTGCTCCCTGCCGGGCCATGTCTCTCTCTCTCTCTCTCTCTCTGCCTTCCTCAGCTCTCATCCCATGGCCAGTTTTCACTGTAACTCGTTCATTCATTCATTCATTCGTGTACATCTGTGCTGAAGTTCAACATACCGTGAGCAAAACACACGCACCAGCCCAGGGGGCCCTCACATACCGGGGAGGTCACCTGGCTGGAAATGCGTGGGCTGATCCATTAAAAAAAAAAAAAATCACAGAAGGAAATGAAGCAGGATAAAGTAGGGGTGCTGTTTTAGCTCGGTGCTCAGGGAAGGCCTCTCTGAGCTGACATAGGATCTGAAGGAGGTGAGAGAGACAACCTTGGGGGTGTCTGGGGGAGGGGCCTTCCAGGTAGGAGGAACAGCTAGTGCAAAGGCCCTGAGGCAGGAGCCAGCTTGGAGTGGAGGTGGAACAGACAAGGGGCCCCGGTGGCTGGAGCTGCGTGGTCGTGGGGAAAAGGAACAGGGATGAGGGCAGAGGGGACAGAATAGGGAATACATGACGCAGAGCCCTGGGGGCAAAGGGGAGGATTTTGCTTTGCGTGGGAGAGAGGCGGGAGCCCTGGTGGCTTTGAGTTGATGGACGGGAGCTGCGAAAGTGGTACGGGGCGCCCTCTGGCGGCTGTGTGAGGAACGGACTAGGAGGGAGGGCGGAAGTCAGTAGTGCGCAGTGGTGGGACATGGTCTTAGCGAGGGACTGTGTTGTGGGACATGAAATGTAAGAGGCGGTCAGCCCTAATGCTTCAGGGGGAACGGAGGTGTAGGAATGGCTCCTTCTTGACAGCCGTCTGCTGTTTCTCCCCAGGCCAACGAGGGCTTGCCCATATCCATCACTGACAGTCTCTTCTGTGGAGGTGAGAGTGGAGGGTGTAATTTGTGGATCCTGCCCTAACCCCGCGCTGTCCCCAAGTTGCTGGTGGTGACCACGTGTCCCCTGGTGTTTCAGACGCAGCCGGTCGCCCCGCCAACTGGGCCCCAGGGCGGAAGAAGAAAGATTTCTCTTGCGCAGACCGCCTGGTGAGGCTCTCAGCCTGGTCCCCGCCCCCTGGGAGCACCTGGCCCTCCGTCTTACCTCTGCCCTTGCCCCCCAGTTCGCCCTTAACCTTGGCCTGCCCTTCACCACGCCTGAGGAGTTCTTTCTCAAGTGGCCTGCAGCTCGCTTCGAGCTCCCAACCTTTGACCCGGTGAGGCCCGCGTCTGGGTGGGAGGAGAGAGGCGTGGGGACGGGCCAGGGTTTGATCCTTCCTGTCCGGCCCCCCAGAGGACCGTCGCCTCTTCGGGGCCTCTCTGCCTCCCTGAGTCCAGCTCCCTTCTGAGTACCGACTCCGAAGTGGTCGTCGCCGTGGGATTTCCTGGGGGTGAGATGCCCTGAGCCCTGACCTCCGGGTGTCCCCAGCCCTTCCCCACCTAAAGCATCAATGACAGTGCACCCCGCTTCACAGCTGGGAAGTCCACCTTTCTCAAGAAGCACCTGGTGTCTGCCGGATACGTCTACGTGAACCGGGTATGACCCTGAGTCAGTCCCGTTCCCCATGTCTCTGGGATCCAGCTTCCCTCCCCAGCCACCGCCTCTCCCTGCCCTCTGTCTCGCTCCTGGGTCTCTACCCACCCCTTTGGGTCTCTGGCTCACTCTTGCTAGGTGTAACCTCCCCCGGGTCTCCCGACCCTCCCGGTCCACGATCTCCTCTCCTGTATCCCCCAGGACACGCTGGGCTCGTGGCAGCGCTGTGTGACCTTGTGCGAGGCATCCCTGAAGCAGAAGAAGCGGGTTGTAATCGATAACACAAACCCAGACGTCTCAAGCCGGGCCAGGTAAACAGGGTCCTGCAGGAAGCGGCCCGTAGGACGGCCTGAGGACCGCCTTACTAGGTCAGCGTTTTCCTGGCCTCTAAACAGGTATATAAAGTGCGCGCAAGATGCAGGCGTCCCCTGCCGGTGTTTCCTCTTCACCGCCACTCTGGAGCAGGCACAGCACAACAACCGGGTGAGCGCCCTCCCCGGGCCCCGCCCTCCCCGGGCCCCGCCCTCCCCGGGCCCCGCCCTCCCCGGGCCCCGCCCTCCCCGGGCCCCGCCCTCCCCGGGCCCCGCCCTCCCCGGGCCCCGCCCTCCCCGGGCCCCGCCCTCCCCGGGCCCCCGCCGCCGACGTATGTATCATTGTCTATGCTCAGTTCCGGCAGATGACAGGGTCCCCACACGTCCCCGTGAACGACATGGTTATGTTTAGCTACAGGTACTGCACGCAGGGGTGGGGGTGAGGTCCAGGCCCGCCGCCCTTGCCGCCCCTTACTGCCCTTTCCACTGCAGGAAGCAGTTTGAGGCGCCCACGCTGGCCGAGGGCTTCTCCCAGGTGCTGGAGATCCCCTTCCGGCTGCAGCTGGCCCGGCAGCTGGAGAGGCTATACCGGCAGTTCTCCGAGGGCTGAGCCGCCGGCCCCTCCCCTGACAATAAATGCTCTTTATCAAGCCTGGCCTGCTTCTGCTGCAGTCAGGGATGTGGCCCGACCGAGGCTCGGCCACGCCAGGGCGCCTGGTGGTGCCAGACGGGGGTATGGCATGGACTGCCAGGGGGTCCCCTCGAGCCTACATCGGACATCTCCACAGCCGGCGAAAATGAATAGGGTCGGCCTCTGAGTGGCGTGAACCCTTGGCTGCCTCCCTCAGCGCCCCATAAGCGCAGATCTGGGCTTGGTGAGGGACAGCCTGCTCCCACCCCTGGCCGGGTGCGCCATGTCTCCTGCACGAATACCAGCCGTAGAACTCCCAGTAACAGACGTCCTGGTACTCGGCCCTCCTCCACTGCACCCAAGTGCCTGGACAGGGACCCACATTTGAGTCCTGGCTTGGCTTTGTCCTCTCTGCTGCCCAGCCCCGGGCTCCTGTAGGAACCAATTTCTCATTTAGGCATCGATGGCCCAGCTACTGCCGGCACAGAGTCTGGGAAACCCCAGTGGGCAGGTCCCAAGTGGGTGACCCAGCCCAGCCACGAACCCCAGCCCATTAATCACTGTACCACCCAATAACCGAGACAAAACGTGGTTCTCTGAGCAGCAGGACGCGCTTCCCACTGGAAGGAGGACGTGGGCCTGGCCTGTCCAGTCTCATACAGGGTGGGATGGGGCTGGAGGTCATCCCTGGGCAGCGGGGTCCAGCCAGGCCCGAAGCGCATGACTAGTTACCGGACCCGATGGGCACCCTCTTCCTTTTCTTATGTTTTGCTTACAACTACAGCAGGCCTGTGGCAGGCGCCCCGCGGCCCCTACTGGGAGGGACGGTGGCTAACAGCCCCGGCTCCTGCTGACCTTCACTCACAGCCCACAGGGCTGCCTCTGTCATCTCCCAGAGGGCCCGCCCCCACCCTGCCCTGGGCTGCCTCAGTCAGAACGTTGGCCACCCAGGGCTCCAGCACAAAGGACAGCAGTGGGGGGATGCTGGGTGGCGGCGCGTGAACAAGGGCGCAGGCTGGTTTTTAAAAGACTTTATTGGGGAACGTACAGGGGGTAAGACAGTCCTTGGAGGCACTTCAGGACACCGGCCTCCATCTCGCTGGGCAACTGCACTCCCCAGGGGCCCTGCCTGGAAGTGTGTGACCTGGCAGGTGGGAACAGTGGAAGGGTCTCTGGTCTCTTACACCATCCTCACTGTCCACAAGCCCTCAGGCTGGGAGGCCACGGACGAGCCCCAGCTCACACAGGACCCCCCACTGCCCCAGAGGCCTCAGCGCTGGCCAGTGGGCCGCTTCTGCTCCAGCCGGGGCTCACCCCACTATACCCCAAGACCCTTCAGACAAGGCTCTGTCCTGCATCCAAGCCTCTGTCCTGTGCCCAGCGTGGGCACCACTCACCAGTCTGCGAGGGCCTCGTCCATGGCTCCCGGGGGCCCCTTCCAGCGGGCCACTATCCCCCCATCTGTGGGGAGGAAGGGGGTCAGTGCAGCGGAAGGCATGGCGGCTTGGGGGGGGGCCCGCGGAGGGGGAGCCACCCTCACCCCTCGCTGCTGCAGCTCCTGCTCCATGTTCCGCTGCAGGACCTGCTGGTAGTTGGCGATGACTCGGCTGATGCCGTTGACGAAGTTGCTCTGGTCGTGGGGGATGAGGCCCATGAAGATCTTCTTCTCCGAGGAGTACAGGAGCATCAGCGCGCGCACCTCGCAGGGGGGCGTGGGGGGGAAGTGCACGCAGCCCGCCTGCAGGGGCAGGGGCGTCAGTGGGCGCCCGCAGCCCCGTCCCGGCCAGCCCACGAGCTCGTCGCCCCCATTTCACAGACAGGGAGGCAGAGGCCAAGGGAGAAGGCAGCCCAAGAGCAACACAGGCGAGGCCGGACTGGTGCCCTAGAGGCCCAGGAACCTGCATTGTGATGAGCCCCCATGGAGACACCAGCACTTCAACCGAGAGGACCAACATGGACAAGCGCACACGTGACAGCGCTCAGTGCCCAGGAGGCAGGACCATGCACCTGACGGCGCCCAGCCAGCCGAATCACGTGACAGCGCCCAGAGGCCAGACCATGCACACGACAGCTCCCAGCAGGCCTGGCACCCAGCAGCCAGACAAGCCCCAACCGCATCTCGGGCACCCCCCCGCATGGGGACAGACATGCCTGTACTGCCCGAGGGAGCAGGCACAAAAGGTAGCACCTTTGCCCAGCCCTGCCCACAGCTAGCCGCCCTTCACACCATCACCCTTCCGGAGAGTGCCGAGGTTACCAAGACCAGACGGAGGGCACCAGTCCCCGCAGGGAGCAAGTCACTCCTCCCGCCCATGGCAGGGACCCCAGCGACCCCAGGTCTGAAGGGCCAGGCCTGAGGATGACTGATGCCCATGCCGTGACCCCAGGGGCCATCACTCTCCCGTCCCTCAGAGGCTTCAAGACCTTACAGCCAGGGGGGCTGGGCCTCTGGGAGGCGGCTCTGGGAACTGTGAGGCCCACACCCCCGCCCACCCCTCTTCCAAGGGGAAGGGAGCAGTGGCCAGAGCTGACAGCTTGCCCGGGGACCCAGAGAGCCCAACGAGGATGGGGCCCAGCGCCAAGTGGGGCGAGGAGCTTGGGCAGAAACACCAGGCCTTTCCAGGTTTCCCTGAGGGAACTTCGTGTTTACAGACTTGAAATCACGTGACCGTAAAAGCATGACACAGGCAGCCCACCAAGTGTATGGTGTCGTGGGCATCGTGACCTGGGCTGTCGTGAGAACAGGTGGCCTGGGGACAGGTATGCAGGGACAGCAGACACCCCGAGGTGGCCAGCGATGGCTGCAGCCGCACACGCATCCCTCCTCACCTCGGACACTAAGGCCCACAGGGAGGAGGCCCAGCCCAGTGCATAAAATGCTCTGAGGGCTTGGGGCCCAGTTCCTGTCCAGCCAGGACCCTTCCCCAGCGTCCCTCAGAGCAGGGAGGTGGGAAAGGCCACAGTGAGCGCTCAGGACGTCTGTCCCTGTGGCTCAGTAAACCCTGGGTGGTGGAGGGGCAGGCCCAGAGCCCCCTGCCACCTGCTGGCCGCAGCTTGCCTGCCTGGGGTGTGACGTCAGGGGCCACGGGGTAACCCCGTCGCCACCTTATCCCTGGGTAACTATGGGTCCAGTACGGTAATTTAGTTTTGTTTCTTTTCTTCCTGAAATAAGCAGGGGGGTCTGGTTTTTGGCTCCCCACTGGCCCCGTTCCTGCCTATGACCCGCACACCTGCAGGCGCCCTGCCCCCGACTCACGAAGCCATTGTCCATGATCCGCCACAGACTCCTGAGCGTCTCCAGGTCCTTGGAGAAGCGGAACTGCACCAGGCGGGAGGTGCGGAACAGGGGCACCAGGGTGGTCTGCGGGAAGACGAGGGAGGTGGGGGGTGGGGCTGGAGGACTACCTGCCGCCCTGGGGGCCCACTCCCCTCTAAACCGCCCTGCACACCTGTTGGCTCTCAGGACAAGGCGCCCTGCCCACGCCTCGCTTCGCCATGCCTCGCCTTAGTCGTCCATGAAAGCTGCCACTAAGAGACTGGCCCTGGGCCTTAAGCCTGCCCGTGCCCCTCGAGGGCTCCACAAACCCATCCGCCTGGCCCGCCCTTCCCTATCTGGGGCTAAGCCACCTGTCTGTGGCCCATGACAGCTCTAACAGCCATGGTCGGTCCTGCCTGCTCTCACCACCCGGGACATGGCCTTCCCCAGCACCAAAGCTCAGACAGCACCTGAGGACCTCGGGGGCACAGCCCGACCTGTAGGACCCGCCCGCGCCCCTCACTGGCCACACGTGTGCCCCCTGCTTACAGCGCCGCCCCGCCCCGCACCCCTTCCTGCCCCGCTCACCAGCAGCTGCTGGGGGATAAGCTGCATGAACAGCTTTCCTGGCCACTGCTCCGTCCTCCTGCGGGGCGCAAGGGGGCTGGGCTCAGCTGGGGGTCCAGCCCTGCCACGCAGCCCCGCCCCTGCCCTAGCACTCACAGGCTCTCGCCCTGGTTCACGAAGATGTAGGACGACAGCCACTTCTTGGAGCGACTGTTGGGCTCAGGCCTGGGCTTTGGGGAGAAGAAGTGGGGGACGTCATGGAGAGGCCATGCTCTTTCATCCCTCAGAGCCTGCAGACCAACCCAGAGCTCACCTCCTGCCACTCCATGATCCCACTCCACGCCAGGAACTTGCTGACCATCTGGAGGGGGCCTGTGTTGACGCCACCGGGGACAGCTGCCTGTAGGAGGAGGCAGCAGGTGGGTGGGGCCGCGGCTGCCCCAAGGCCTTCTGGGAAACCTCCCTCCCACCCATACCACCCCACCATGCGCCTGCCCGAGGCTCCGCCCAGGCCCACAGCCCCACCCCAGCCTCCCGGCTCTCCTGCCTGGGCCCCAGCCGGCCTCCAGTCTCTGGGTCCTGTCTACATCCTGCCCTGCACCTGCTCACAGCCCTCCCAAGTATTCTCGGACGGGTCCCCAGCCCCAGCCTGGTGTCCAGAGCCCATGGCCCACGAGGTGTGCAGACTGGGGCACTTCCCAGAGGGCCGTCCCCGTGATTCGTCCCTGTCCCCCTTCAGAGCTGCCCTCGAGTGCTACTTCTTCCCCTAAGTCCCTGGGGGCAGGAGCCTCGTCGGGGTGCCCCCAAGGCTCCCTGTCTTGTCCTGCCCAGTCCAGAGCAAGCCCGGGCCCCGTGTCCACCAGACTGGACGGCCCTCCCCTCCCCCGGTGGGTGCAGGGGCTCGGCGGTGGCCTCCCCCCTCCTCCCGCCCCTGGTGGGTGGCGGGTGGTGACTTCTCCCCTCGCCCTCCCTCCGGCGGATGGCCGGGCTCAGCTGCGCACCTGTTTGCGGGTGGTGATGACCTGGCGGATGCCGTTGACGAAGCCACTCTGGTCGTAGGGGATGAGGCCCATGAAGATCTTCTTCTTGGACGAGTACAGGAGCATGAGCACCCGCACCTCGCAGGGGGCGATGTGGGGGAACAGCATGCAGCCCGCCTGCGGGTGGTCAGGAGGTCAGGCCCAGGGCGAGGGGCGCTGCAGGGCCCTGACACCCCTCCCCCCAACCTGGGACCACTGGTTGCCTCATCCGGGGAAGGGAAGGAGGTCAGCATTGACTCAGCCTCAAAGTCAGACCGGAGTCCCAACCGACAGGCACCTGCCGAAAGCTGGCTTCCTACCAGGGGACCTGGACGTGTGTTCAAGGCCCAAACTGCAGGACAGGATGGGGCCTGTGAAAGCCCCGGGGGTTCAAACTGCAGCCCAAGGCTCCCTGACACCTAGTCTGACCCAGGCCTTGCAGCCACTCCGCCCTCAAGGCTCCCTGACACCCAGCCTGACCCAGGGCCCACGCCCCAGCTTAGGGCCCGCAGCCACTCTGCCCCCGAGTTTCCCTGACCCACGGCCAGGCGTAGGGCCCACGGCCGTTCTGCCCTCGAGGCCCAGCTGATTCAGGAAGCACCATGTGTGGGAGTCAGAGCACAGCAGTCTGGCCAGACCATCCGGGTTCAAACCCAGCCCAGCTACTTCCTAAATGTGTGGCCTAAGGCCCAGTCTCCTTGTCCTTCCGACCTCAGTCTACCCATCTGGAATATGGGAGGACAGCCGTGACCAGACAAAGTGCTGCCTACAATGCTCGCTAAATGGAATATTCGCGCTTCCTGGGCAGAACCAGGAGAACGTGGGCCTGTCTACAGACGCCTGTCTGCTGTGTGTCCCCGCCTACAGACGTCCCCATCCTCCAGGCACCCCGTCTGCTACCTTGCCCCCCATCTGTGTCCCCGCCAAGTTCTGGGGCCCCTCAGGGTCTCCGTGGGGATTCCCAGTGCCGCCCCACCCTCCCCGCCCACACTCACGAAGCCGTTGCCCATGACACGACAGAGACCCTTGACGGAGTCACAGTCCCGGTTGGTGAAGTGGAATTGCGCCAGCTGGGAGTTGCGGAACAGGGGGCCCAGGGTGGTCTGGGGACGACAAGGGAGAGCGGTCAGTGCTGGGCCGAAGGGCCAAGGGGCACGGGGGGCTCGCAGGGTGGGGGCTCACCAGCAGCTGCTGCGGGATCAGCTGCATGATCAGCTTCTGGGGCCACTGGTCAGTCTCCCTGCGGGAAGGAGGCGTCAGGGCCCGCTGGCCCCGCCCACCCCCTGCGGGAGGGAGGTGTCAGGGCCCGCTGGCCTCGCCCACCCCCTGTGGGAAGGAGGCGTCAGGCGCCTGTGCCAGCCTCCAGCCCCAGCACTCACAGATTCTCGCCCTGGTTCACGTAGGCCTGGCAGGGCAGTGCCCGCTTCAGCTTGGCACTGGAGTCTGAGTAGGGTCTACGCTTCTGTAAGAAAAAGGAAGGGAAGGAGGAGAGAGAGGGAGGGAGGAATGGGGGAAGAGAGTCTCACTGGTCACCAATCCCCTCCCCACACAGAGGTAGATAGCACCCCTACTGGCTCCCTCATAGCAGGTCGACACCACCGCTCCCCAGCCCTGCCCACAGACATGGACAGCACCCCTCAGCCCTCCCTGCCTCACTTCCTGCGCCCCCCAGAGGTGAATAGCACTGCCCCAGCAAGGCACCGGGGCCTCACCTTGTGCTCCCACTCCCCGTGCCCCACCTCACCTGCCCCCCTCACCTCCTACACGCCCCCCACTTCCGGCCCCGCCCCCTGCTCAGACATCCCCCCCCGCCTAATGCCCCGCCCCCTGCTCAGGCGCCCCGCCCTCACCTCCTGCCCCGCCCCCCGCCCCACCTCCTGTCCCGCCCAGGTGCCCTGCCCTCACCTCCTGCCACTCCAGGACGCCGCTCCAGGCCAGGAGCTTGTTACTGAGCCGGTGTTCACCCACAGCCAGGCCACCAAGTGAGAGCCCCGGCGAGGATGGTCCGATGGGGCCCAGGGCGCCAAAGACCCGTGCGCCTTTCTGCAGGGGTGGGGGTGGGGGTAAGGTAAGGACCTCTCCACGGGCCTCAAAGGGGACAGCCCAACGTTCAGACCAAAGCCCTGCTCAGAAACCCAGCACGGGGGCCGGGTCCTTGTCCTGCCCCTCTCTGTGGAGCTTGCACGTCACCTCAGCACCAGCCCGTTTCCCATCGCGGCTGGGCCCTCGGCCTGGAGCAGCACCGTGTCCCCTTCGGGTGCCACCTCCACAGCCTGAGGAATTCACGGTCCAGTCACTGTGACCGAGCTCTTATGCTAGAGGGCTCCCTACACCCCACCAGGACCTGCAGCGCACAGCCACGCTGTGCTGGGTCCATCTGTCCCACACACACGGGTCTACCGACCCTCCCCACTCCAGGCCCCAGGCTCCCCTCACCCTTAGGAGGGTGTCTGAACGCTACCCGTTGGCTCCGGCCATCCTTTCGGCCCGCCCGCTGCACACTGAGGCTGTCGCCACACGAGGCCAGATCCCAGGGAGGCAGCGTGAAATGCCTGGAAAGGAGCCCTGGTGGCTCAACACTTCAGCACTCAGCCGCTAACTAAAGCGTTAGGGGTTCACACCCACCCAGCAACTCTACTGGAGAAAGCTCCTGCAAAGAGGACAGCCTAGCAAACCCCGCGGGGCAGCTGTATACTGTCAACTCTACTGGAGAAAGCTCCTGCA